TAATGAAAATGGAGATAACAGAAATGAACTTGAGCCCTGGGGTATTCTCACCAGCAACACGGAAGTGGTTGCCTGGGCAATGCTACCCAATTCCTTGGGTTATTATTACTTTTTCTTTTAGATTTCGAGCAGGTCTACACTGATTGAATCAGACAAAACCTATGGGATGCCTGTTTTCCAAGTGTCAGGAGGGAGAATTGGTGCTATGAACATGGAATTACAGAGAGAGGGATATTTGGTAATTTATTTCCTTCCTAGCCACAAAACATATTTGTTTCTGAATATATTTTCATGACTAGAGACAGCTCTGAAGAGTAACTACAGACAAACTCTTTGTTTTCATTCAGACATGAATTGCCAGAGATTTAATTTATTAATTCCCCTTTACTTAGGCCACTTACTATTCCATTGCTCACAGCTATCTGTGGAAATAGAGTTTTTCTTTATTTAAATAAAAGATTATTTAGGGAGGCAACGAAAAAGCAAGTTGAGTTTAAAGCCATTCACACATGTCTATATATAAACAATGAAAAAATTGTTGTTAAAATAATCACCTACCTAATCTCCTCCAACATCCATAGTAGGTGTTATACAGGTAGGTAGTTTTTTTCTCGTATAATATTGAGGGTACAGTTTTATGCACTGCATAGCTCTAACAGAAAGTATAGTGATAATGTGTGTGTGTGTGTGTGTGTGTTTTAAAATATATTTTATTGATTTTTTTACAGAGAGGAGGAGAGAGGGATAGAGAGCTAGAAACGTCAATGAGAGAGAAACATCAACCAGCTGCCTCTTGCACACCCCCTATCGGGGATGTGCCCGCAACCAATGTACATGCCCTTGACTGGAATCGAACCTGGGACCTTCCAGTTCGCAGACTGACACTCTACCACTGAGCCAAACCGGTTTTGGCATGTGTGTTTTTTTTGTTTTTTTTTGTTTTGTTTTTGCAGTTTTTCTCCTCATTTTGTTTGCCAATAGTTGTATCTCTTTTTTAAAAAAAATATATTTTATTGATTTTTTTTTACAGAGAGGAAGAGAGAGGGATAGAGAGTTAGAAACATCGATAATAGAGAGTCATGGATCAGCTGCCTCTTGCACACCCCATACTGGGGATATGCCTGCAACCAAGGTACATGCCCTTGACCTGAATCGAACCTGGGACCTTTCAGTCCGCAGGCCGACGCTCTATCCACTGAGCCAGACGGGTTTCGGCGCCAATAGTTGTATCTTGCTTGCCTCTCATCAACTGTTTTTTTTTTTTTTTTTTTAATTTTTATTGACATATATAAGCAATTAATTGCCTGGTATAATTAGTACAAATCCTAATTCAGGAGATAAAGGGCAAAAGGGAAATGGCAGAAAATAATAGCAAATACGGGTAGGCAGGCAGTTAGTCGGGTGAAGGTCCGGAGAGTGTTTGCTCTCACAGTTTGCCTCTAGGAGCTCGGCTGCCTGCGCACAGTTGCAGGCACACCTTTAATGAGTGGTCTGTGTGGCCTCACCCTGCGGCCACAGTTTTTGGCTCTCGCCTGCCTCCCTCTGGTCTGTTGCCTTCGTTAGCAGATCACCTTTTAAAAGCACACTTTGATACAGGTGTCCTAAAGTTAGATTGCTGTTATGGTTGCACAGCTCTGTAATTGTACTGCAAACCATTGCATCTCAACACAGCGGCTTTAAAGGAAAGCAGAAACTGGACCCAACTCCTCTTGGTGTCCGAGCTCATGTCAAAGCCTGAAAGTCCTGCAGGACCCAGCCCCTGTTCCTTGCCAGCCCCTCTTCTCCACCAAGCAGCTCCTCAGGGGGCCTCCCGATGCCACACCTTTCCTCACCTGCTGACCTCACCTGCTGTCCTCACCTGCTGTCCTCTTGTCTTGCACTCACTCCATTGTCTCCTCCTGTCAGTGTTTCTAACCAGAATGACATCTCCTGCCCTGACTGCTGTCTTCAAGTGCACTTCTTCCTTACTGTGATCTCTGTGGCTCTGGAAGTTGTCATGTTTGTTTCCCCATGTGCAGAGACGGTAATTTATGTAGTTGTTGGGTGACCCGCCTTGTGGCCTGATGGTCTGAGAGGACTGGAGCGATGTGGGTGAAGTCTCCTGAATGCTTTGTTGCAGTAACGTCTGACCTTGGAGAGACCATGAATACTCTTGTACATCTTACCAAACTCCCTCAGAATTCTTTTTCTGGCCAGAAGGAGTTAGGAACTACTATGTGCGAAGGTGTCGATACTTTGCTGACCAAACCCACAGAGTTTTGGGGAATAAATAGACAATTATAGGTCACCAGGTGGCCAGGATTTAAGTTGTGTCAACCTAAAAATCTAGGAGGCAATAATTGAACAAAAATAGTTTATTTGAAATAAAAAAAATTGCAATTCAGAAAGTACAGATTCAGGCAGTAGCCCCAATAGCGGTACCTCACATTCCCCACAGGAGAGAGACACAGGGCTTTTTTGGAGAAAGAGGAGGAAGATGACATGTTTTTTAACGAAGAGTTCATTGGTGTCCTAGTTCGAGTGACTCAGTAGATAAAGTGTTGGTCTGGGGACTGAAGGGTCCTGGGTTCGATTTGAGTCAAGGGCACATGCCCGGGTTGCTAGATCCACCCCCAGTAGGAGGTGTGCAAGAGGCAGCCAATCAGTGATTCTCTTTCATCATTGATATTTCTATCTTGTTTTCCTTCTCTCTTCCTTTCTGAAATAAAACAAATACACACACACACACACACAAATATATATATATATATATATATATATATATATATATATATATATATATATATATATATTTAAAGAGTTCTTTGGTACTAGATGAATTAAGGATGGATCTGCCTTGAGATTCCAAAGGTTACACTGCACTTCATTGATTGGTTAACAACAATTTGGTCATCAGCAAAGTCCACTGTTCCTACAGACACTACGTTGTCATTTTTACTGCCTGGGAGGGGTGGTGGTTTGGTTCAGTTAGGAAGGTAAAGAAAACAAGGCAAGCAGGGCAGTCCCTCTGAGATGGCTCCTCCGACTCTATTGTAACGTGGCTCCACTCATGTCACCCCTCACAATGGTGTCCCTACCCGGTCCTAGAAGTCTCAGGTTTATGGGTTCACTAAGCCACTTAGCTCTTCTATCCATAGTTGTGCTTGGTATTTTGAGCCAAGGAAGGGATGTGATGGTTGGAATGCTCTTTGTATGTGACCCCAAACCAGGGCTTACAGCTTGTGGCTATGGTTTGGGAATTATCTTGGTGAGTATTTTTGTCACCAAGATGCTCACTACATCCGGGTTCTGAAACGTGAATCCTGTGCTCAGTGCTGGGGTTGGTAGATGCGCCATGGTTTTAAAATGGGCACCCAACAAAGTTTAAGTAGGGTTTTTATGGGTCCATTTCTTTTGGTTCTGTTAAAAAAATACCCATTTTATTAAATATTTTTATGCATTATTTCACAGGGACTAGGTATGTGTATGTGAATGTCTAAACTGTAGTATAAGAAGCCCAAGTTATAAAGCCTATTTATTTCTCAGGTATAAAAATTTATTGGGCAGTCACGATTACAAACCTTAAAGAGAAGACACAGAGAATTTATTAATCAGTGTGTCATGTTGTTTCTCTAACTCCAGTTGTAAGTTAATATTTTGTCTTGAAGTTATTTTCTTTTTTATAGACAATAACCAATGTTTGTATCATTGTAATTGGGTGTTCTCCACATCATGTTAGACAAATTGCTCTCCAGTTTTCTGTTAGGACTCTTATAACATGGGTTTATATTAGACAATTGCCAATAGTGTTGGGAAGAGTAGACTTCAATTTGTTATGTGATTAGTTTTCTGAGTCCTACGTACAAACTGGTTTTCACTTGTGATGGTTACTTTAGAGCAGGTGGAGTAGCTGTTAACTCGGGTATTTTTATAATTCCTAAAATTGAAGTTCATGAAGAATAGTTTTACTATGGTGTCAATTTTATAGGTTTGAGAGTAATATTCATGGTTCTGCCTGTGTATTCTTGGGCAGGTTATACACCATTTCTGAATAATTGTACCTAATCCACAAGATTTTTGGGAGAATTATATGAGCCTTTGTATTGATGATATGTTAATAGTGCCTACCTCATAGGCAATACTTGATTTAGTAAGCAATTTATTATTGAACCAGGCCATGGGTGGCAAACTTAGATGGCGATAAGGACTAGACAGGAAATAAAAAGGATCAAATGTGACTGGGTAGGGCCATGATTCTTCTCTAAAAAGCTAGTCATTATTCACCTGGCATCTTGGTGCTATTTGGGAACAAAGTACAACTCCTATTTAAAAAAAAATACAGATATTGGAGCTCCCGCCTGGATTTTTCCATGTTGGCAATTAATGAAACACACAAGCAGACATGTACAGTGGGTGAAACAGAATTGGGTTAATGGCTGTGTTGAGCCTGGTAGCCACCAGAATGCAGCCGGGGACCCGTATGATCTGTATTTGTCAGTTCAGTTGATTATTAAGGATTCAAATGATGCAATTGTCAGATTGAAAGTAAGACTTTGTGACAGTCGACATTAGCAGATTACTCCCCATGACTAATCCGCATTTTTGCAGGAATTTTGTAAAATCTAGAGAGAGGATCCTTTGAAAACCAAACAGTATTAAAATGGATCGGAAAACTTGGTTGATTTATTTCTACCGGATGTTATAAAATATTTGAAGTCAGACATATAATTCTTTTTTAGGAGGGTGCCTCTGAGCTCCCTTATAAATCCGCTTTCTAGTGTACCTTTTCTTGGACCTGTTAGGAAACATGTATTTTCGTTTCTGAATGTTAAAACTGTGATGTAGTTAACATTGTGGAGCATGGCTCTAGTTTTTGTCCTTTTTCATCTTGTCTGATTAAAAAAAAAAAAAAAAGGGTTCCACCTTTTGGAATCAGTACTTTGGAGGAAAATAGCAAGGAGAAAATTACAGTATTTTGTGTCTCCCCCTGACCTAAGTCCTTTTTACAAGCCCGTTGTGTGTTCTTTGCCCATTAGGATCCTACCCTGCGTGTGCTTTCCCTTCCCTTGAAGTGTCAATTACCTGTTTTACTTGAAAGAGTCATGGCTCTGTGTGAGGTCTCTTTATCCCTTCAGAGGACGAAAAAATATATTTTTGTAGGTGGGAAAATAAGTACCTTTGAATGTGATAAAATAGGCAATTTACTGTAATATAATCGATTATATCTGAGGTCAGTTCAGTATCACAAATATCTGAGGGACTATTTGTAAATGAAGTGGTTACAAAGGAACAAACCTTTTGATTCTGCTTTTTTTGGGGGAGGGACCCTAAGTACGTTTTACTGCAATTAATTGAAAGCCAGGCACAAAGGAGACGAGGGGCTGATTGGAATATTGAATTACTTTGACTATAATTTGATACTTCTGCTCATTGTAGGCACAAAAAAAGATAAAGATTTATTCATTTTCGGCTATTGTGTGGTTTTAATGTTCTTAAATGCTCTTCAAAATGTGGAGAAAATTATGCTTGGTAGCGATTTCGCCATCCTTGAGGGATCTTTAATTAGTTTGTTGTATGCGCTGTTATAATAGACAAACAGCCTGCTTCCCGGTTGCCCGCCCCTCTGGAAGCAGGCACTCTGGATTGGAAAGCAGCGGTGCTCTGGCTGCTTTTCCGGGGGCAGGTTTCTGGCAGTGACTCTGGTAGTGACCTAGGACCCTGTGTGGGAACCATCCGTCCATCGTCCGAAGTAATTTCCATTCTAGCACCAGGGAACCAGAATGTCTTAGTTTTGAGGTTTTCAATTTTGAATGGGAGCTGGCCAATTCTCCCAGGAGTCTAAGTCCTTTGGAATGACCTAGGATTGGACATACAAGGTGAAAGCGGAAATACCTTCTAGGGCCACTATATTGTTTTGCTTTGAGTATCAGATGTGTGACCAGGTTGTTGATGGAATTTCGGGCTGTTCTTGTCTCAAACTTACTGGTTTCACCTCTACCTAACCTCTGCCATCTAATCACTTCATCCGGGGGGAGATCATGGCACAGCTGGGATCAGTGGGCTTTGTCGGTTCAACATGGCGAGGTGCCACCTCAGGTGGAGGAATGCGGTGGTTACATTGACATGCTTGTAGGGACCACGTCTTCCTTTCTTGGTGGGCACCTCAGGCTTCCGTTCCTTTTCAGGTGCACAAGTGCATATATGTAAATAGCCCACCTTTGATAAAAGCAATAAGACATTAGTTCCACTCTGCAGTTTCAATTTCTACATTTGGAATTGTGGGCGAAAAATGTTTATTTTTACTCCATGTAGATTCGGGGACCCTTGTCTCTGACAGTTAAACCGAAAAGCCATTTCCATCAGGAACGTTATCTAATGTGGCGCTTCTAGAGGAGCTGGTGTCTTTGCATGGAGTGTTCAGTGTGCACATTGACACACACGCGTTACCAGCACAGGAAACTCTTGCCCCGACTCCCCCAGGTCCACATTTCTGTGAAACCCAGAGGAAGGGTTATAGAGAGAACCCTCCCGAGGATCACGCTGGCGGCAGATGGCATACACATCTGCTTTTATATTGCCAGCATAAAAACATTTCTCCTTGGAAACTGTGTCCAGTGCTCTGGGAGATGAAGTCATGCCCTTGGGAATCAGTTTCCTTGACATCTTTTGTGGATGTAACTCAGGATATTTTTGTAGGAGAGAATTGAGACTTTGGGTCTGGAAACTTTTTGTCTTCTTCGCTCCAGGAAGGAAATGAGGGACGCTCCGTAGAAGTTCTCAGAGGTGGTGACAGAGGGGATGAAAACTCCCTGATGAAAATCCCCGCCGCTGGCTTAGCTCCCTGCACAGGGACCGGAGGCCTCCTGCTGAGTGAGACTGAGCAGTGGTGGCTGCTTCACGCCCTGGGTTTTGTGATCTCCACTGTCACCCTGTCTCACCTGTCAGAACTGAGAGACCCTGATGGTCCTGGAGTTGCTGGGGTTTTCCTTTCTAAGCTCATTTTATGATTATAGTGTCCAGACCTTGGAAGGCCGCCCATGCTTGCTATTCCTCATGCCCAGATTAGTCAACATGTGGGTGTGTGAATGTGTGTATGCACATGCTGGTTAAACTCACACCAGACAGCACCTCTTTGAGCAGGAGTCCACCTCAGTGTCCAGGCCTGGACGGCCTCTGCCCCTGTCCTTGTCACATCACTGTGACCCCACTTAGATCCCCTCTGTGCTTTCTGCTGACGGACAGCTTCAGCTCCCGCGGGGGGCTTGATGCTATAGAACCCGGTAGTTTGTGTAATGGCGGCTCCTCCTCCTTGTTAGACACACGATAATTAAGGGCAGATTTACACCTGTTGTCTGTCCTGAAGAATGAAGCTACATCTTTTCATAAGCATTCTCCATCTCTAATTGTGTAATTAAGTTGCTGACATAAACAGGGATGCAATTTTACATTAAGGTAAGGACCCGTAAAGGCATGCATTTGCATAATTTAATTTTCTGCAGGGAAGATATTGAAAATCAATAGCATGATTCATGACCTCACCATACCTATCATCACCATGCCGCTGTTGGTTGGCTGTTGGAGTTTGGGAGATACAGAGAGTATTAAAATTGATGGAGTTTGGTGTGCTGAGTCTGTATCTTGGGAACCACGGATTGTGTCTCTCTGCAAATCGCCCACTCCTTGCCAGTAAAGCATTAAGTGCTTTCAGATAGTGTCTTTTTGACTGCTGTTCAAATAATAATTTAAAAAAGTTTTTTTAAAAGAAAAACTTTGTTATGCGATTAACATACATTTGGGAACTTAGAGTTTGTTTGGATTTAAATGGAAGTGCCAGTAGTCTGTGATTATGTTCTTATTCAGGGAAAAAGCAAGCACACTTCACTGACAGAGAGGAAATGACAGGGAACTCTAAATATAGTCATCTCTATCGATAGTGTGCCTGCCAGGGGGTAAAGTCCCCTCCACCCTCTTCATGTCGGAGCTGCCGCCCAAAGGACTGCTTTGAGCCCTGGGCTCATTCCTTCCCGCTTCTCTTGTAGATGCTTGTTGTTTCTGAGAGGGGCAGTGTGAAAGTGAGACTGGAGGAGAAGGCGGTGTTTCTGCTTGTGCTTTATAAAAACACAGCATATACACACAGACACACATAATCTTACCCCCAGCACAGCCACCACCCTCCCCACCTTTCATGTATTTATTTATGTCGTCACTCGCAATTGAATAGCTGTCCTCTGCAAGGTTTCACCGTGGGTGGTAGTTTGTGAGTTCCTAATCTCTAGGGAGCTCAGAGGCCGGGCATCTTGCTCTTTAGAAGTAGGCTTTTTTGTCTGGGGAGAGAGAGAGAGAGAGAGAGAGCGAGCGCGCGCTACTCCAGCCAGGCTTCCTGCCCATTCCGACCCCGCATCCTACCTCCGGACTCTGGAGTGAGATGAAGACAGGGGGACCCACCTTCCTCGAGATGGCTCTGTCCCGGTTGCTAGGGCTTGTTCTTTGGTCTGTACACATCAAAGCCACACGGCTTACTTCCGTTCCGAGTTGAACTACCCGTACACAGGCGGTTCCCCTGCTCACACCAGTGGATGTGTCCGATGGCTGGGAAGGGGTCTGCCTTTGGGGACATGGGTGCATTGATTTGCGGAGTCAGGGGAGCCCTTCCTGCTATGTAACCCCCTTGATTCTTGGATGAAACAGATCTTTGTAGTTTGGCTTTTACGATAATATCTTAGTGGGTTGGGGGAGCCGGCCAGTATTGGAGCCTCAAACCTACGGTCTCTGTCTAATCCAGGTAAGAACTTTTGGCATCAGGGTCTGCTACTCGGGACTGGCAGGTTGGCGCGCTTACCTGATGCAGCTCTGGTCCTGTGTCTGCTTTCCAGCACGATGGGTAATGCAGCTGCCAGTGTGGAAGCCACACAGATGAGAGACAGGCTGGCTGCCTGCATCCTACTCTGCCCCAGCCTGACATTCTCCAAGGTTCCGGGAAATGCAGAGCATCTCCTTTGCAGACAAAAAGAAAAAAAAAAGGAAAAGAAAAAAGGAGGACTGGCTGTAGAGATTGTGATACTAGAGATCATCTCCTGTAAAAGGCACAGGAGTTAATATCCTTGAGGTTCACCTCCTTCCCTTTATGTGACACCTGGTTAGTTTGTCAGTTTCCTGGCTAGAATCTGGCTCCTTCAGGTTTGTTGGTCCAAGTTCTGGGGTTAACACCACACCCGGTGATATCCGTAGCATGTTGTTCCTTTCTGCCTGGCCAGCTCTTTACTCGTGTTGGTGTAACTGTGAAGTTACAGGTTGTAGGGTAGAAGCTGAGCATGAACAGGACTCGGGATCTGACTTATCCATGGAGGTTTGTGCTTCTTATCTCTAAATAATTTACTGTCATCTAAATACTGATGTCTGCAGGTAGGGTCCAGGGTATAGGGTTCTTTATTATTATTGTTACTTTATTATTATTGTTCTTTATTATTATTGGGGCCCAATGCATGAAATTTGTGCAAGAGACCCCCCCAACCCCCCCTGTCATTCTGAAAGGTCACTCAGGAAGGTCATTCTGCCATCGGTCTAATTAGCTCTTTATTATATAGGATTATTGTTGTTGTTGTTGTTATTATTAAAGCATCCAGAGTTGAGAGCCACAGTGGCGTTTACGGATGGAGAACTTAATGATCAGGAGTTGAATGCCTTGTTCGAAGGTCATCAGCTCACAATTTATTCATTTGGGGACCTTTTGCATATGAGACAGAAAAGTAAACTTTGGCAGGTAGTTGGTTTATGCAGATTTAAGGCTTCCATGGGGTTGGTTTTAAATTGGCTTTGTCCCTGGCTGAAAATTTGGCAACAGAAATCATCCACAGATTTTGCTTCCTCTGGCTTGGCTTCATCATTGAGTTCCTCTGCTGACCCCTTGCTGGATCTCCCCGCCCCCCCCCCCCCTCCAGCTTCCAGCTCATGCCATAAGATATCAGGAAGAGAGGAGAATCTCTTTGATTGGTGGTGGATGTCCCCATTGCTAAACACATTGTTGGGAGCCAGGGACGTGGTCTGACTGGCTTAATCCAAAGTAGTGTCATTCTGTTGTCGTCCCCCATTCCCCCATTCCCCCATTCCGCGCACACGTGCACGTACACAGCTGACAGGGAGACAGGAGAGGTCAGGGGGAAAGCCTCCCCAGTGTCTGACTCTGGCTAAGGAAGTGGGGGCTATGGTGGTTTCAAAAACAGTGACAGCCACACATCGCCACTGTGTTACCCGCCATTTAAAAGCACCCCATGCCCCACGCTCAGGTAGGTAGGTGCTCTGCTCACAACAGCTTGTATTTCTAAACAACTATCCCATGGGGTTGGATTTTTTCGCTCTGTTACAGATGAGGAAACTGAGGCTCAATCACATGCCCTAGGGAAGCCACAGGGATTACTCCCAAGGTCAAGACACTCTTACTCATTCTCCTGATGCTAAGAGTAAGAATTATGTGTGAATAATCAGAGTGCACTAACTAGCTCTAAGATACACAGCAAAGAGATACATTTAAAAAGCTTCCCACATACATGGACAATTAGCAGTTATTCGCTTGGTGTGCGTTAGTATATGGACAAAAAGTAGATTAGGAAGTGAGAGATTTAATTTTGATTCCTTGAAGCTTAGAATGATCAACTTCCTGGGGCTTTGTGTGGCTCATCTGCACAAACTAGGATGGAGTAGATGGTACCTGAAACTTCAGCATACTTTAAAAATGAAAAGGGACTTCGATTTTCACTCTGTCCTTCAGGACCAATGAGCAAGCATACACGACACCATTTTTGCTTTTTCGATGAGTTTCCGGATTTTCAAAGATTCTTCTTTCCCTCAGAAGGGTTCATCTTGCTGGAATATCTTTGTTCTTTGTGTAAGCATTAAAGCCGGTGTTTGCAATTGACATGTAAACATATTTTATATGTTTCCTCATTTACTTCACAGCTGTCTCAGCATCTGCATTGCTAATGCCATCCTGGTGAGATTATTATTATTATTATTCCTTTGACTAATTTGGGATAGAAAATGCATTATGCTTTCCTGGTGCCATCCTAATTTTTAATTGACTGTACGGTTCCCTTAACCGCTTTCTTTGCTTTTTAAAAGCACATTCGATTTTGTTTGGATGCGTTTAAACGTTAACACAGACAGCTGGGATGTATTGTTTGATGTGTAATTCCATTTCATTTTGGATTCTGGGCACCTGTGATGTTTGTCTTTGTACACCTTGGTGCACTCAGGTGTGGCTCACAACAAAAGCGATTTGCATCCATGATGGGTTGGGGGGAGGGGAGGTTTGAACACAAGAGCTGGCAGATGGAAGCCTCCACCATGGGGTTGAAGATCGAATTCAGTTTGAGTTTTCAAAAAATACATCATTAAGCAGTCTTTCCTTTTTTTTTTTTTTAATCGTCACCAGGGAATAGTTTCGTTGGTGTTTTAGGGAGAGAGGGAGAGAAAAACTGATATGAGAGAAACATGGATCGGTTGCTTCTCATACACACCCTGACCAGGGACTGAACCCACAACCTAGGTAGGTGCCCTGACTGGGATTCGAACCTGCAACTTTTTGGTGTACAGGATGATGCCCCAGCCAACAGAGCCACCTGGCCAGTGTTTTTCTGTTGTCCTAGGAGGGTTTTAGATTTCATATTCTCACATACAATAGGTGACTGACTTCCTCGGGTCCAAAGGACTTGGAAGTCTGCCACGCTCTTGGCGCAGGCTGTGCTGCCTGTGGGTGGCAGCAGCCCTGGCTTGGATGTAGGCGCTTAAGTTCGGGTCCGTGGCTGGCTGCACACTAACCTTCCGTGACCTGGGCTCTGAGCCTCTCTTCCTCCATCTGTGAAAGAGAAGGAGTGACCCTTGTTCTCTGAAGGTCAACCGAGGCTACAGGCCCTTTGCACCCACCACATAGGCTGATGCAGCTCCAGGTCTTCCAGTCGTACGACCTTGAGCACCTTAAAGACCTGCTCTGAGGCCCAGTGTGACTGCCTCGCAGACTAACGGAGATAATGTACCATATTTTTCGGACCATAAGACGCACTTTTTTCCCCCCAGAAGTGGGGGGGAAAAGTCCCTGCGTCTTATGGTCCAAATATAGCCTACACATATACTTTAAAAAAAAAAGTTTTTTTTACTTGCCCGGCTCTGTGTGGTCTCTGTGTGCTTGCCCGGCTCTAAAATGGTTCTAAATGCTGCTGTTTACTTTACAGGGTTGATTACATGTGTTTATGACTGTGATGTTGGGTTTTAATGCACATAAAATATTTTAGGACACTATTTGTTTCAGAATCTTTTTTCTTCATTTCCCTTCTCTAAAAACTGGTGCGTCTTATGGTCCGGAGTGTCTTATGGTCCGAAAAATACGGTATATAAAGTGCCCAGTGCATTGAGCTTCTTGGCTTGTTGTAAGCTGTGATGAATATGAATAGTCACCATGGCAATGTCTCTAGAGTGTCCCGTAGCTGTTTTTCTGTAAAACCAATAGTTCTGTTCGTTATTCCAACGCTCGTGCTTCCAAGAAGTCACTCACGGGTGTGCCTGTGGCACCTTCCCGGGCTCAGGGGTGTTGCCTTCGTCTCACTGTGGCTCTCCTGTCTCCCTTCCAGCACTGACCGAAGGCTACGTGGGCTCCCTTCAGGACAGCAGACACAGCAGCTCCTCGCAGATCCGCAGGCGCAAGGCCTCCGGGGACCCCTACTGGGCCTACTCGGGTAAGTGCCTGTGTGAGGGGGTCTCCCAGGCCAGCGGCCTCTCCTTACACACACCGGAAGGTTCCCTTGGAGTCGCCTTCGTGCCAGACTTCTGTCTGTTCATACCTTTTGTGATTCCCTGGAAGTTCACATAGTCCAGCCTGTTTTGCCTCGAGGTTATTAAGGTGCCTTAGATGATCCTTCCCGCCCGGGTTCTCAATCTGTTTCCCCTGAATTTATTTCCTGAACTTCCCTTGTGAACGAGTTATTGTGCAAACCTGTCATTTCCCCAAAGACGCAGCCTCTCCTTTTCTGACTGCCCAGTGGCTAGGATTCCAGAGGCTAGTCTGGAGCTGCTAACTGTCTGCTGAATATCATAGAGCATCGCATATCAAAATGAGCATTTATGCTTTAATGATCCAAGAGATGCAACTTTAGTTTCGAGACAGATCTTAGTTGAATAGACTTCAGCCCTCTCTGCTATTGTATATAGTATTCTGCAGTTCCTTTTCCTTTTCTTTTTCATTTTGGCCTTTGAGCCAGTGAAGAGAGCACTACAGGGCAGGCAAAACTAGGTCTACAGTTGTGAACGCACAAAAACACAGTTTATTCTTTATTAATTGCTAGAGGCCCTGTGCATGAAAATTCTAGCACTTGGGGTTGGGGCCCTCCCTCAGCCTGTCCTGTGCCCTCTCCCAGTCTGGGAGCCCTCAGGGGATGTATGACTGATGGGAGCAGGCCTAAGCCGTCAGTCTGGCCTTCCTCTGTGGGAGGCTACTGGAGGGCCTATCGGGGAAGAGCGGTAGCTGGTATCTCCCCCCCTCCCCCCAAACCCCACCCTCTATCACCCCTCTGCCTTCACTGGTCGCTGCTGCCCCTCTGATCGCTGTCTTCTCCATCTTCCTGCTGGTACCTGCCTTGGCTGGCCTGGCATAGCCTTCTCACTGGCCCTCACCCCACCAATGGGGCTGTTCTGTCGATTTGCATATTAGGCTTTTATTATATAGGATAGGATTGAAGTATGTCCTGTACAAACAACTATAGACCTACTTTTGCCTCACCCTGTGTTATAACCATCTTGAATATTCTATTGGAAGTAATTTTATTACATTATGGCCAGGGGGATGAAAACCTATAAGAATACACAAACCTTTCTAAATTAATGCCTCTAACAACTAACAGAGATATGATAGGTGATTGCTGTTTCTAACACATATTTAAATGCTCAATACATGGAACATGTAGCTAATTAAGGAGGAATACTTGAAGAAAATAGGCCACTTTGGAAATTTCTTTGGCACTGAGTAATTTAAATTCTTTGTATGAAAAAGCTGGAAGGCACAGAGTATTAGTCTTAATAATAAACCTGTATATTATAGAATGTGGTTGCCTACAGAACTGAATGGTATTATTTTCATAATGATACTCAGGTTTTAAATCCTGAATTTCTACCTGCAAATCCTCTTAAATATCTGTCAGTGTAAAATTTATAGGCCTGATCTTTAATTACACCTTATCTATTGGCTTTTTGCATCCTTTTGTCTCTTGATAAATCTGCTGCCCCTACAGGGAGAATAGCCTATCTGTTTTGTTTTGCAAAGAACAGATAGTGATTCTGAAGTCTTCCATCACACCCAGTTTCTTGTGATTAGAATGATCTAATTAGAGCCTTTTTGTCAACATTTTTGATAAATGAAGGAAATTTGGAGACAAAAGCCGAAATCACATATATAGAGAGAGCTCCTTGCCAAGAAACCCAAAGAAAATTTATCTTTTTGTACTCTGTGGCTGCAGCTCAGTTGAGAAGCAGCAAAAAGTGGCCTGCTATTTACGGTCCATCAATCTGGGATACTAATGGGCTAGTCAAGAGCTGGAAGTTACGTCCCATCTGCATCCCCTGTTGAAAATGGAGTGAAGGAACTCAAGGCTTAAGCTCTCCTCATTGCTTAGTTAGGAGTGGACACAGTGTATGATCTCTCTCGGATGGTGTCATTGTGGGATCAGGTGGACTTAATGCGTCTCCATTTTGTATTTCTGGAGTGCCTTGTCTGGACTGGGAACGTCTTCTACTGATGGGAAGTCAAATAGTTCAACCTCAGGGATTTCATGCTTTTCTGGAAAGATGCAGATAGTGAATATCTTAGGCTTTGCCAGGTGTGTTGTGTTTATTGCAACCACTTACTTGGTTCTGCCATTTTAATGCAAAAGCACCCGTAGGTAATATGGAAAAACTGGCTGTGTTCCAGTATAATTATATTTATGAACACTGAAATTTTAATTCTATTTAATTTCCATGTGTCAGGAAATATTATACTTCTTTTTCTTTTTAAATATATTTTCTACTGTTGATAGTATTATCGGTATGTTCCATTTCCCCTCCTTTACCCCCTCCTCTTCCCAGCTCCTACTGATTCTCCCAGTATACATCTTATTAATTATTTTTCCCATCAACCATTTTAAAAAATAGAAACCACTCCTGCCAGGTATGTTCAGTGGTCAATAAGGAGTTGAAAAGAGTTAATGTTTAGTAAACACATATCCGTTGGGCCATTTGAAACAAGGGCCACAGGGAGGACTGTGCTCCCACAGGCCTTGCAAGCCTCCTCCCTGTCTATGCCGTCTGCTTCATATTAAACTGCAGTTATCTATGATAGTATCTTTTTTGCATAGGGAAGGTCAAAGATTCTTCCTGTCTTATGTTTCTTAAAAAATATCCGCCTTAAAGTAGTCAGTATCCCCAAAGACATATTTTGGGGGAGCAAATTCTGCTTCCCCTCACACTAAAGTGGTGGAATATTGGTTCTCATGTCCAGAAGACTTGGGGTCCATCAAAGACATTCCTTAGCAAATGGCACTTGGATGAAAAAAGGGCAAGAAGGAGAAAGAGTTGTTGTCTATTATTGTACTTTTGGCACATCAGACCAAGGCCTTTATTTTATTTTATTTCTATTATTTTTTTAAAATATATTTTATTGATTTTTTTACAGAGAGGAAGGGAGAGAGATAGAGAACCAGAAACGTCGATGAGAGAGAAACATCGACCAGCGGCCTCCTGCACATCCCCCTCCGGGGATGTGCCTGCAACCAACGTACATGCCCTTGACCGGAATCGAACCGGGGACCTTTCAGTCCGCAGACCGACGCTCTACCACTGAGCCAAACCGGTTTCGGCCCAAGGCCTTTATTTTATTAAAATTTAAAAAAATATTTATTGATGAGAGAGAGAGAGAAAGAGAGTGAAAGAGAGAGAGGAAAACATTGATTTGTTCCATTTTTTATTTTTATTTTTATGCACTCATTAGTTGATTTCTGTATGTGCCCTGACTGGAGATTGTCCTTGCTATATCAGGACAATACTCTAGCCAACTGAGCTACCCCGGCAGGGCCAGCTCAGGGCCTTGAAACTACAGTAAACCAGATGTTATGGAAGTGGGTAAGGAATGGCTCCAGGCTTCCTGTCACTCTTTGAGCCAATTAAGCAGAGACAGGGTGAATCCTATATGAGCATTTTACTTTCCAATATAGCCAGCAACATGGGAGACTGCAGACTGCAGGTCATCCCCAAAATATGCTCTACCTACCCCCCATTCTCCTCCCCGCCCCAGCCAGCTGCATGTATTAGATAGAAGGCAAAGATTACATGAGGAAGTATGCAAAAGGAACTCCAGGCATGGGGGAGTAGGCAAAAGGAATAAGAATAGGTATAATGATTACAGGTTAGAGGCAATGCAGGCTGGGGGTTGCAAAGAGCAGGATTCCATTGTTTTGACAACAAGGTTGTTAATCTTCCTGTGATGATAGGCAGTTCTAGGACACTATAAGAATGGACCACATTTCTAGGTTAACTCCCAGGTCCAGGGCATAACTCCCAGCCAGGTCAGAATGTGCTTTTGTTTTGTTTTGTTTTGTTAGTAACAAAACATCTGAGAATATTTTTTCCCCACTGATTTGTAGAGAAAGTGGAAGAGAAGAAAGGAGAGAGAGAAACATCAATGTGAGAGAGCCACGTGCAACTTAGGTACGTGCCCTGACCCAGAATTGAACCCGGGACCTTTCAATTACAGGACCCACTTTCTAACCATTGAGGCAAGCCGGCCAGGGCAGAGTGTGCTTTCTTTAATCAGAAAATTTAACAAATTCCTGGCATAAAGTACCTAATATTACTTCTTGCTCTGTTTCCCACCGTTTTTATTGTTGTGATTGGAACTCTCAGTGGGTAACTGTGATTGACAGTAGGTGGGGGTCACCAGGTAGTACTGAGAGCTAAGCAAGCTAAGTTCAATTATTTGTATTTCACCAGAATTTCCCATTTGGGATTTGAGAATAAGGGTTATGAAAACTACCTTCAAGTTCAGGACTTGGTTGGTAAACTATAAACCACCTCCTATTTTTGAGAGTCAAGTTTCATTGGAACGCAATAAGCCATGCCTATTCTTTTGTGTAATTTCCTTGGCTGGTTTCAGGCTTCAACTGAGGAGTTGAGTAGCTCACATAGACCTTTGACCAAAAAGTTTAGAATATTATTATCTGGTCCTTAGAAAAAGTTTGCCAACTTCTGCTCACGCTGATACAGCCCGGGTTTTGGAGCAGATGTTAGCCCGGCTCACACAAAAGTGTGCAGAGATTTGGAACATATCTTTTTTCCTCTTCTCCCCTCGGGTCCTACATTTTCCCCTTGAGCTGGAATATCCTTGGCAAGGTTGGCATTCATTGTGATTCTAGTGGTCCTGTTTGGACTTGGCAGGAACAAGGATGAGAGAGTGGGATGGTGAGGAGATGGAGCCGGGAGAGTGGGTATTGGCCATTCTGGGCCCTCGGGTTACTGTGTCCTGCTCCTTAGATCGCCTTCCTGTGGGGGTTTGGTGAATGATGCTGATCGGGTTATTCCAGAGGCATTCTGTCCTGGTCACTTGAGGAGAGTTATAAGTATTTAAGCTTTGTATGGCTTGCTTTTGGGATATTGTCATAACAGCAGTTCATTCATGTTAGTGTAACTTTGCACTTTAGAACTAGCCAAGTAGCATCATTCTATTTGTAT